TACACCCAAAGTAGGAGAAGGCTTCTCCAAGGTATTATCAACAGATGCAACCTAGAAACGCCTTTATTCTGCTGGTTCATTCTTCCTCACTTTTCTTATTAGCTCGTCGACACAGCGGCCGTTGCATATGAGTCCGTCGCATGAGTTGCACAACGCTAAGCAACCAGGCAGCCGGAGACCCCGGCCGGCCACGTCAACTAAATCAGCGCTCAATCCTTGCCCTGCGCTTCGAAACACGTTCGGCACAAGTTCCGTCTCGATCTACCTCTCCTCCCGGAGCCGTGGGGGGGGGGGGGCTATCCCGAAACAACGCCCAGGGTTCGGGGGAAACCGACGGGATTAGATCAGGCCTTTGTGATGTGGCGAGTGGGACGCGCTTGGAGTAAGTGATATCATGGCCGTTTGTGTGATGTCAGGAGTATTTATGCGTACGTGTTCTTGTGTTTGTGTGTGTATTTCTGAGTGTGCGTGTGTGTATGTGTATGTGTGTGTGTGTGTGTGTGTGTGTGTGTGTGTGTGTGTGTGTGTGTGTGTGTGTGTGTGTGTGTGTGTGTGTGTGTGTGTGTGTGTGTATGTGTGTGTGTGTGTGAGCGAGGATGAGAGAGAGAGAGAGAGAGAGAGTTAGTTTGTATGTGTTTGAGTGAACCTATGTGTGTGTGTGTGAGTGTGTCTGTGTCTGTATGTGTATACAAGTTTTTTTTTTAATTCGTGTACGTGTGAGTGAGTGCCTAAGCCAGTGCCTGTCTGTCACCACCACAGTGCCACAACTGTTTCATCACCGTAAAATCGTGATTTATACTTCGTATCGCTATCATTCTAATAAATATTAGTAATAACATGCCGTTCATGGTTTCATATTAGTGAATGACTTATGTATGGATGGAATGTCTAGTAAAGCAACACATGCGGTTTTAAAACAGCTGACGACCCTCCCCCCTCCCCCCGCGCAAAAAAGTAGTAAAATTCCTTAGTGATTTCGTTATGCCTTTTGCACAGAAATAACACCACACAATTAAATATTCCTTTTGATTCACGCAAGAATGAACGAAAATGTTGAAACAACTTGCCTCCTTTTTTATCGTTATTCTGAATATATAACAAATCCTCAATGGCTTTTGAGAGCGCTTGTTACTAGGCCGCAAATTCTAGATTATTCTAATGCTACATTTTTTATCAAACCGAAGAAGTTATAGTAGTTACAGGCAAGGAACATGAAGCTCCAGGATTGAATTTCTGCGCGAGGGGGTGACTTGGCTGGCATTCCAAATCTTGAACAGGTGCTTACAAGGATCTCAAAAGCGGCCGTTTTTCTTTCGTTCTTTGAGCTCTTGTGTCGACTTATGCTGTTTTTATTTTTATTTTTATTTTGAAGAGGGAGGTTATTGTGTATTTGTTGATATTGTCATTCAATTTTATCGTTGTTTTTTATGATAGTTGTTGTTTTCTGTTGCTACGATTATATCCGTTTTATTGTTTTTGTTATTACCATCATCATCAACACTACTACTACGATGTGATGTCCACATGTCCTCATCCTTTTTGTTAAACTTATGTTACTGTTGTTGTTTGTTGTTACATAATCACATTACGACTAATAACGACAATCTTAGCACTACTATTCTCACTACTACCGCTTATAAAAATGATATTAGCAGTAATGATAGCATCCTTTATGTTAGCTTTTTTCCTTTTTTTTTTTTTTTTGGTTCCAAGAATAATTTCTTAAAGGGCAGGAGATACGTTGGCGGCGGGGGATCGCTGGACCTTTCCTGTTCTTGTTTTGTTTTCGCTTTCGTGCCCCGAGGCCCAGTCACGGGCGGCCTGGCTGGCGTTATGCAAGCGTCGTGCAGGTGGACGTCCCTCCTCGCGCAGTCTTGCAGGCGCTCGTTTGCATGTGTCCGAATAGATGGTGATGTATGTTGCAACTCGAACGCTCTCTTTGTTTTGCCTCAACGGCGCTTATATCAGCGTGCGGGGTGACTACTACGCAGCGTGCGTACGAGTCTTTTCATTTTCGTTGTCTAATTCTCATTTATGGTTGGCACTATTATTCTTTTTTATTCTTTTCGTCACGTTCGAGTGCAGCCAGCATGGCTTTAACCGCAGCTGCGGACCGTGAGGTCGCTCGCCGCCCCGCCAGCCGCGGTGAGAATAGCACCGACGCCAATTAGGGCTTAATTACAAACAACAGCAACAGCAGAGCATGGCGGAGTGACGTCATGGAGGAGAAAGTTGTAAAAGCAGAATTTAGACTAATAAAGCGCAACTGCGAACGCGCGTCGACGTGGCCGACGGAGGCTACGAATTTAACCCTAAACGAGAGGGACGTTAGAGTTAAAGAGCGAGGAGCGCAGCAGCGGCAGGCGGCTGCGCGGCTTTGCTTTTGTCTCCGCCCTTCTTGCTCTGCGCTTGTGCTTGCTTCGGCTTTATTTTCCTAGGTTGCTTTAGAAGTTGCTTTTAAGCTTGATTTTCTGATATGGTTTCTCCTCTTTACTCTGAT